TTTACTAGTTTCTCTGAGGTGGCATCTAATTCAATTATTTTGTCAGAAGTGTCCCTTGTGTTTCATCAAAGAATGCCAAATACTATAACATTTGAAAGGGAAAAACTTAATCAGGCTATGTATCAGAAGTTGAAGAGGTTTATCATGAATAAGCGCAAGCGGGAGGCTGAAGGTACGTGATCTGTTTATGTAAACATTTTAGAGCGTGCTCAAGCCGATTATTATAAGCGGCTGAAGAAAGAGCGTGAGGAACGCAAGAGGCAGATTAAATTTTCCACTGAATCTCTGGAAAATGCAAAACGTGAAGTAAGTGGCAGTTTCTCTTAATCCCAGATTTACGAAACGAAAAAGAGGATCTCCGTCCTTAAAGCAGAGAAGGATGTTCTTTTTACTAGATTTAAGCAAATAACTCAGGAGTGCAAAATGAGAGAAGCGGAGATTAGAGCCAGAAATCAACAGTAACTCATTTTTTTCCCCTACGTAGTTTTAGTGTTCAAATGGATAAGGCAGGATTGTATGCCGACCAGTGTCAAAACAGAACTTCTCAAGAAGCTATTCTTACACTGCCAAAGGCTTCACATAAAGGATTTGGAGGTGGCTGCTCACTAGATCTTATCAATCAAACAAATGCTTTGAGGAAGCAAGTTGGCCAATTGTACTGTCCAAGTCAGGTATTTACATTATTGCTGTTTTATTCTCAATTGGCCTCCTATCTTAACGTGAATGTGTCAGTTCTCCTCACCATCGGCTTCGACTCATGGAGTCCACGACACCTCGGCTGCCAATCACAGTATTGGGTCAGCCGCGTTTGCGGGGTTGGATAAACGTCAACTAGCTCTGTACGGTTCACTTATTCCTCAACAGCAGCAGCTTCCTCCCAAAAATCTCCTCGATGGTCCAGCTACTAGTGGTTTGGGGAACCGAGAGATGACAGCACAGGAGCTTCAAGCAATTTCCAAATACCTTGTCGAGCTTGGTGCTGCCAGTGGCAAAATGCAATCAGGTAGTGCCAATATTTGCTCCATGCAATAATTAGAGCTGCAAGAATTGTGGGTTGAATAATTTTACAAAGCCTGGCTCCTATTCCTTCGAAGTTGTCTTTATTCTGTAACTTCGACTGAATTTGAGTTCACATTACTGATCTATTTATTTATTATTTTATACATGCATTAATACAACGTTTTATATTTGCTTTTTTTGGTCACTAATTTTCTTGAATTCTTCGCTTTGACTGTCTTATTTTTCTCAAGCGGAGATATTGAATGCAATCAATGCGGGTACCCTGTCAGCATTTTTGAACAATCCCAAATTGGCGGCAATGGTGGCCGCTTCCTCCCTCGGTTCAAACCCACGCTCTCCCTCTACTTCGGGTGTGGCCGTCCCCACCGGTGTCTCGTCTTCCATCGCTGTTGGATCGTCCCTCAATAGTGGCAATAACGGTGGTAATGGAACATTCCTTCCTCCTGCGCCTACCGGCTATCGAGGCAGCATTACCACAGGCCAATCCGCTCAGCAAATCCAACTGGCCCAGCAGCTTGCAGCTCAACAGGCCGCTGCACTCTACGCCAGTCGAGGGGCCTCGCAACCCCAACCACCGCAGTCGCAGTAGTCACGTGGATTCTCTGCCAATGGGTAAATTGGTGCTGTTTCGCCTACCTAACTGCTCAGCTCATATTCATTTTTTAATGCTAGTTATCAACAACTGGTTTCTTATTTGTACATAAGGCACCTGACTTCCTTTTCCTTCACAGTCTGCACTACGAATGCATTTCCCTAATGTGCATAGTCTTCTTTGTTGATGAAATAGTTGGTGTTATATTACTGCGATTTACTTTTGTTCACCTTTTAATGCTTTTCATCAGAAGAGAGTTTACTTTTTGAGACAGTAAGTTACTGCGAATGGTACACACTTGTATAATTTACCACAAGTCCTGTACTTTGCCGCCCAAACTAATAATAAAATTCTTCCTGAAATTCAGTCTTCTAATTAAAGGCGATTTGCCTTTTTGCCCGGTTTTCTACGTAGCTTTTTTGAGTACTTGGTATTAACTGCGGTGGTGGTGGTTTCCAAACATTGTTCTCCTCTACTTTGTCGCCGTAGAAACGCGACTTCAGATGCACCTCCCTTTCGCACAATTCAGAGAGCATCGTAATGCCTATAGTATGAGAGAAGAGATGGTGATTAATTGTTTCAATGAGATAATTTTAACCTTTAAGTAGGCATGCAACATAAACTACTTTTGGAGTTGCTCCCCGTTAGTCGTCAATGTTTATGAACTTCACAAACGACATTGCATCAGGCTGCAATTGTTCTTATCATGCAGGCTAGCATGTCGGGTTGTGACGATGCTTGTCTCAAAAGGGATTGCAGAAAAGGTGATTGGCGCGCGATACTGGGTCGTGGGATTAACTAACAAATTGATTTAGTATTTTGTTTTACAGGTTTAGAGCGTTAAAATTATCTAGATGGAGGGGCGGAAGTTACTTGTGGTGCTAACAC